GACTGAGGATCCCTGAGGAAGCAATGGGTTAAGCATTGGGCTGCTAAGCAGAAGGTCAGCAATTGGAACCTGCCAGTCCCTGAGTAGAAGAAAGCTTTGACAGGCTGCCTCTGTAAAGATTTAGTCTCAGAAATCATCAGGAACCCGTTCTACTCTGTCCTATCAGTCATGATGAGTCAGAATCAACTTGAGAGCAATGAGTTTATAGACTGACAATTGTAACAAACAATCCCAATATTTCAGTGCATTAATATAATGAGAGTTTATTTCTTACTTAGACCAGAGTTCACAGTCCTATGTATTTGGTGGTGGAGATGGGACCTGTTCCATATAGCCATTTAAGAATTAAGGTTTTGTGTGTTTTTTTGTTTTGTTTTGTTTTTTGTGGCATTACCATTTTCAAATCCTGACCTCCATGGTCCTTGTAGAAGAAGAGCAGTGAGGAGTTCCTGAAATATAGTTTACTATCATTCCAAGGACAAAAAGGAGAATCATGAATGCTAGCACTTTCTGCTTTAGTATTTTTTCCATCTTCTTCTTAATAACGTTGTTGTTAGGTGTTGTTAGACTCGATGGCACCTAACAACAACAAGTAATAATATTAACTCCTTGTTTAATATTTTCAGTGCTTATGATATTATGTGGGTGACATCATTATATTTACAGAATTCTATGCAATAGATTCTAATAGTATTAATTCTTTAATCTTTGTGTTTGAAATTGACTCAGAGAAGTTAGACAACTTGCCTGATCTAGGTAATTGTTTCTACTAGAATTTAAACCTGGTTTCCTTGTATCTTAAGAGCCCATGCTTATAATTACTTATTTGAGATCATAAGTATCATTGTTAATTGCCTCCGATTGCTAATTATATGCCAGGACCAACACCTAGCCAAATACCACTTAACTCAAGAAATGTCCTCTAGATCTGATGGGAATTTTATTATTTCTTTCTGTGGTACAAATATTTTGACTTGATGACTGTCAGTCATGATTATGAGAGTCCTCAATACAATTAATATGAAGCTAAGCCTCCTAAGTCGTAAGTTTAAGGATCCGAGAATTAAAAAGTTATGAAAAATGGTTCATTTCACCAGTGGAATTAAAGGACGGATGGTAATGGGTAATAAAAATAATAATAATAACAGGCAATAATAACCATTCTGACTTTGAATGAATGCTGAGTTTAGAAGAAGAGGGTACTTATATATTAACTTTATGATGTTCAGTGATAAATCTCTCTTTGTTCTTTTTGTCTTTCCTGATCCTTTAATATTTTGGCTTACCCTCTCTGTCAATTCACTTTCATAAAGTTTCGATTTCCTTTCCTAGGTGGTCTGTCTCTCCCTTTTATGTTCCTTTGCATGTGTCTATTTACTTTAACTCAAAGATTTTTATACTTGAAGACCTTAGAACCTAAGAATTGTTGGAATTGGCCTTATCTTACCAGAGTCATTGAAACCCCGATGCCATTTTGAAAACATTTTAAGAATATGCACATGTGAATTTTTCTTGTGAGATGGATTATAACTTAAAATTTTTGAAAGGGTGTAAATCTTCCAAATAATAAATTCCACACCTCAACAAGTGATGGTATGCAAAAAATTATTTTATAAAGCAATTAACTGCTGCCCCTTTTCTGTAGGGCAAAATGTTTACAGTGTTTCTAGAACTTTCATGTGCATGTACTTCACTTGAGTGCTTATAAAATGCTTCATCTATTTCACTATGCTTGAGGTACCCATGATTCTGAATCCTAATAAGCACTCACACAATCCTGATCTTTCATATTCTAGGGAGCACATTTTTAGCATGTACAGTGTAGTGAAATATGTCATGTCTCTTCTAGCCGTAGTCTATTAACTCTCACAAACACCATTTTGCCCTTTCAAGTCTGGGTAGGAGAAGGTAGGACAAGACGCTGATAGGATGATGTGATTCAGTTGTGAATGATTCTTAACAGAGTTCACTGTGATTGTAAAAACTTGGAACTCTAACATGGGTATAAAATGAGCCATCTCAGAAACAGGACAGGGGATCCCACCATATTCAGAGGAGAACCAGAAGTAGATTACATCTTTCTTACCTTGGGCTTCCTGTGTGTGAACTTCCTAGGCTCCAGGACAGAAAGCTGTGATGCTGAAGTAGAGGCAAAGAAGCAGCAGTAGCAGAATCAAGAGCCAGAGCACCAGACAGAGCCGTGTACGTCTCAGTCCACAAGTAAGTAAAGTTGAGCAGCTTTGGGCAGGAGGCTTGCTTACAGAGTGGGGTACCTCCAGGCACTTAACTGTGGGAGCTAGAGCCAGCCGAGTTCCTTTAGGCTAAGGCTTACAGTGGAATGATGTGCCTATGGACATTTTTCAGTACCCCTAAGAGCTTTGTAACATTGCCCAGCAGAGACAGGCCTGCCTATGGTCATGGCTGAGGAGAGGTTGTTCTGACCAAAGAGCTATATATCCTGAGCATTTCTGACCCTTAATTAAACTTGCTAATTTCCCCAGTACATCCACTAACTGAGTAATGTCTGAGTTCTGTATGGCCATTGTAATGAATTATTGAGCCCAGCTGAGTAGAGTGCTGTGGGCGAGATACTTGTCAGTTTCCTTTTGCAGCATGGCAGTTAGAACAATAAATAAACAGAAACAAATAAGAATAGGGTTCTTTCCCCCAAGGAATTATCATATATTTGTGAAAATAATTTTGGCATTTGTTGTTAAGTGCCGTTTTCCGACCAATAGCTACCCTGTATAGGGTTTCTGAGGAGCAGCTGGTGAGCTTGAACTGCCGACCTTGCAGTTCAAACGGCTTTGCAGTCTGGCGCATTAACCCACAGCG